TGCAGGTTTGGGTTCCATGCCCCCATCTCTCTGTACGCTCTCCCAGTGTTTAGCACTATAGCCTCACACCTTGCAGGTTTGGGTTCCATGCCCCCATCTCTCTGTACGCTCTCCCAGTGTTTAGCACTATAGCCTCACACCTTGCAGGTTTGGGTTCCATGCCCCCATCTCTCTGTACGCTCTCCCAGTGTTTAGCACTATAGCCTCACACCTTTTGGGTTTGGGTTCCATGCCCCCATATCTCTGTACGCTCTCCCAGTATTTAGCACTATAGCCTCACACCTTTTGGGTTTGGGTTCCATGCCCCCATATCTCTGTACGCTCTCCCAGTGTTTAGCACTATAGCTTCACACCTTGCAGGTTTGGGTTCCACGCCCCCATCTCTCTGTATGCTCTCCCAGTGTTTAGCACTATAGCCTCACACCTTGCGGGTTTGGGTTCCATGCCCCCATCTCTCTGTATGCTCTCCCGGTGTTTGCAAAGTTTTCTGTCCCAGTCTCAAAGGCAATGCTGCTATGTGAATTAGCTACTGTAATATTTCCCATAGATAGTGACTGTCTGTGTGTGAGAGCACTGAAATGGAGTTCATGGACATCGACATGGAGGACAGATGGATGGGTGGGGATATAATTAAATGTGATGGAAGCTACACGTGTGCCAAACTGCTATGATGACCTCAAACTACACATGGCCAATACACGGTTTTCTCCCTTCTTCTTGCTATGAAAGTTCACTATAAAAAGCAATTTTTACATTTATTTTCATTAGTTTTACTGAAATGTACCGATCGCAAAAGTCACAATGGTGCCTGAAGAAGAAATGCCTTTACAAAATACCTCCTTATCCTCATACTACATTTGCAATACAAATCAGTTTTGTAACTAACACTCTCTGTACTCATAGCTTAGACTGTATACAGTGTATTAGTATGAGTTTAATGCAGACAGAAGAAGCTACAACCACCCTCCCCATCGGAAACACATAACCCAATTTTCTAATTATCGCTTTCTTCTTCTGCTTTACAAACAGGTTACATTTCCATTTATGGAATTAATAGCCTGTCAGTAATTTTATGATCTCATAACTTCAAAAGGTCTCTGAATGCCTTAACCCAAGTTTCTTTTGTTGGGCAGCATGGAAAGTCCTGAAAAGTGTATATCAATAGTCTAAGCTACATCTTTAAGAAGGAGAAAAATGACTTATTAGGTGAATATTGGGTTAAATACAGTATAATGATTCTGGGTTAGAGTTTATGCTGACCTATTCTGTTGAATTCAGAAGCTGATCCCAGTTGTGAGAGTGCTAGAGGAAAGAAAAAACTTAATTATTAACCCAACACTAATCCCAAAAGTGTGAGGAATATTTCCCCTCCTGAACTCGTTTAAATTCAATTCCCCATCACAAACCACAGTTTAGTCATAGCTAAGGATGAGACTCACTCAACATTAAGAGAGAGTTTTTCTACCATCACCTAGGATTCAGGTCACCTCTAGTTGTTTTTCTATTCAAGAGAAATAATAACTGATTATTCAGCAGAACTGAAAAACATTTCTGGTATCAGTCACATAACAATGCACCAGTGGTATACTTTCCTCAAGAGATTATTCCTATGATATCAGTGATTTTAACCTTATGTTGTAAAAGTAAAATAAACTAAATAAACAAGTAGAATAATAATAGTAGTTTAATTATACCGTGTATATTATTACAGGGTAATAATAATTTTCCATGGGATTTGCCTTGATAATCAATGTTATGTAAGGACTTATATTAACTTGATTATCAGATGCTACTGTCCAAAGTAACATACAAGAGCACAACCAGCCATCATCACTGGGATGACTGACGTTACTGTAAGTGGCTCACTCAAGGCCCCGACTGTGATATAATGACTCTACTAGCCATGGCACATGAGCAAATGACCTTAAAGAGATGGGCACAGACACCTATAACCCACTGAGCTACACCAGTGTATATAAACAAGCTATACAAAAATATTGCCTTTCAAATAGCTTAGCATGTATGTACATTCTGCAAAATAAAAGTCTGCTGATTGCCCTATTACATTGACACACCAGCATTCACCAAGACAAGGAAACGCAAACCAAGTCATAAAGAATATCTGTATGCAGCATATTTTCAAATGTGAGTATATCTAGAAGTAACCTACTCATTTACAAAGATTTCACATTTAACATTTAACAATTTCTACTTCAAACAACCCTGTACTGCCCAGTGATTTTGTAATTATTATAAATCAGTGTTCAAAAGTTAAATAAGTTACATTCCTCCAGGATTCACATTTTACTTTATTCTTAATTTAAAAAGTAACAAAATCACACTGAAAAAAAATATTTAAACATGATTAATTTCGACTAAGTCTTTATGACTTGTTTTTCTCGTCACAAAATTTAAGTTACAAACTACTGGATGACGTTGAAAGTTACAATATTAAACTAGGAGCGTCACGGAGCACACCACATCAAAAACTTATCGATAAAGGTATAGCAAGATAGTTGCGTAACTGTATCCATTATTCCCAAAACATGAATGAATTATGCTGCAAGAATTAATTATACTGCAAGTAACAACTGTTGCAAAGAAATCGAGAATATTTTGTGCTGCAAATCTTTGTCTGGGAAGGAAAGACGGAGAGAATGTTTTAACGTATTGTATATATAGGGCGCTGGAGGATATAAAATCAGGTTAATGGAACAGGTTTTTCTGTTACCTTTACCGAAAAGGATATGGCCATTCTATAATCTTCCTTGCGTATTTTCTAATTATGTTGTTTTCCGCGAAGATGAAGAGGGATCTGTTGACGGTTAAACAGTTCTGTCTGACAGGTACTGGGTTGTACAGGGCCATGGTGCGGGCTCTCTGGGCTTTGGCTTTGGCTTGCTTAAGTGTCTCCATCCCACCTGGAGGCATTGCCGATCCCTGACAGTCCATGATGTTATCCGATCCCCCATCCCCGGATCCCAGCGTGCTGGGCACGTCGTCTCCAAACGTGGCCATTCTGCAAAAAGCATGAAATAGGAGAAAAAAAATTATTTAATTTGAAAAAAAGACGGTAAAAGTTCGCCCCTGGTTAAAGGAAAGAATCTATTTCCATGTTTTTATCCAGAATTTCTTCCAGTTACTCTCGAAGGCAAGGTTAAGTTCATATATCCCTGTAAATGAAAATAATCCCTTAAAAGGTAAAGAAAAAAAATAAGTGAATCGAAATTTAACGTGCTTTATCTGTGTATACTCCGCTTTTTAAAATAAGTCGTGGAGGGGGGGTCGGAACAATTTTTCTATTTCTTCATCCGCGTTATAATGTAAAATGTTACTTTTCAATTAAAAAAATCTGCTTGAACATCCATCTACTATATCGCTGTAGAGAAGAATGAATCATTAAAAAATCACGTCAATCGTCTAAAAAAATCACTATCCACTATTTTAAACACTGAGCATCATTGAACGTAAAAACTGCAATTTTCACTCACATTATTATCAAAACAAAGTCGATCAGACTTGTTTAAACTAAGCAGCGATTAACAAATTTCATCGGTTCATCTGTTTATATCTGCGATGTCTTTCGTCGTCATTTCCAGTCCAAACTTTACGCAGCCTTAGTCATATTAAAGAAAAAGACTTTCTGTTTTTCAGGCCAGTATTGTCTCCACAACAGCTTAATGTAAAATGCACATCCAGTTGAAACGCTAAAAAATACACGATATTAGAGAAACAAACAGCAACGATCGGTACATTCTTTCCCGGCTTGATTTTAGAAGGTAAAAATGAAGCGCAAGTCGCAGCACAGTCGAAAAGGCTCCTCCCTCGTAGGCTGCTCATCCTCTCCCAAGTATCTGGGATGGTAATTAACCAGAAATGTTTCTCTGAAGTTGATCTCGAGTTGAAAAAAAGAAAAACAATCACGGACATATTACTAATTAAGAAGTTATTGAGATCTTTGCATACCATGTTAACATTTCAATGGATTTTTTCAGCATTTCAACAATAACGTAACACAAGCCGATGCTGTTTGTCCTAATTGCGAATATACCGCCAGTTAATTTATTTGCATTCATATTCATATATTCTATTCGTGTGCTGTGTACTTTAAAAATGCTTGCATTATGTTTAATTGTTTGCATTACGTGTGCTCTCTTTGCACCTTGTTTTGCATTATGTATATTTTTAATCTGTGCAGTTTATGTAGGCCTACCTTACTGGCGTATGCTCGAGAATCACTATCTTATATCTTATCTTATCTTCTTATCTTATCTTACTGCCATTCTGCTTTTATTTTTGATGAGGCAATAAGAAGAAAATAATAACAGGGGTCTAGTAGTTAGAATAAGAATGACATTTTCCATCCTATTTGTATTTCCAAAATTTAAATTGATATCATTAAATGCCATATGGGGAGCTTGGCAAGGATGTGTTGCTGTAGTGTTACAACTGTATATGTGGTTTACGTACATTCAAGCAAAGTTAGATGGCTTTTGGTTACAATTGTGGCAAAGGCACCTTTTTCAAGCCAGAGCTAGAATGGTGTTAATCGTTTGAGGGAAGGAGTCACTGCTGCAACTCTTACATTCCTGGTGAGTGGGTGGAATTCTGCATATTCAACATCAGAACACGAACAGAATACAAAAAAATCTGTTAATCCATAATAAGGCACAAGCATCATAAGTGGTAGGTTAAACATGCATTGCCAATGGTTTGGCCTGGTCTGCTGTGAAATGTGTATGGAATATGCATTGCACCAACCACACTAGGGTACATAAATATAAAGGAAGAAGAAATCATCCATAGATGGTTTTCACCTGGAGTCTATCCCCAGCTGCATAGGGCACAAGGCTTCAGCAATTTAGAGACACCAATTTGCATAACTGCATACCATTGGACTAGAGGAGGAAAGTACCAGACCAGAACAGGAAGGAGAGAACATGCAAACCTCACAAAGATGCAGAGAAAGGGATACATTCAAACCCAGAAACCTGGAGGAAAGAAGCCACATGATTAGCCAATGAGGTACCATGGCACCCTCAGAGAGAGAACCCTCAGTATGAAACTTAATAAACTATATCTGCAAAGTGTGACATTAGAAGTACTGCATCCTTACGAAGGGGTGATGGTTGAAGAGTTTTTTGAGTTGTGACTGTAGAATTGACATTAGTTTAGGAAATATGAGATACATCATTTCAAATCCAGGTCATGATAACAATATCATCACTATGTCAGTAATAAAAATAGAACAGGAAACAGATCACAAGATTACCCTGTTTGAGACAGCTGCGCTGCATTTAGAAGCTCACACATATTTATCAGAGAGTAATGCTGCAGTAAAACTACTTAGAAACACATAGCATTCCAGGCTTTTCTAGGATGACTAGGATAAAGCATCTACCATTATAATAATATTCACATAAAATTAAACATACATGTAAGTTTGAGCTAGCTGGAGCAAGAGACGTGTCATGGGAGTGGTCTGGTGATCTTGTGTTACCATGGCAAGTCATCACCAGGAATGGTGCCTAGAGATGCCTGATTTAATTAAACCCAGCAGGCCCTGAGTGAACTAGATACCTTATTAAGGATGAATAGCTTCATCCTGGTTCATTCCAGAGGATTGTAATGATGGAGGTTGCAAAGTGTCTGGTCCGCCACATCATGCATAATCGCTGGTGAGGTAACCAGCAGTGGTTAACTAAGTAGACCTGGAGAAGGTTGTGTGTTGAACACCCCAAAACAGCCACTGCTGAGTCACTGCATGAGTATTAACGTGAAAATGCTATGATGTGTTTGCACACCCCAAAGGAAGTAGCAGAGTCATAAAACTGAGATGGAACTGGCATTATGGTTTAACAACTTATTTATATATTTCAGAACCAGACTTTAATTTCAAATGTATTTTTGCAGCTTCACAAAGATTCCAGTGCTTATTCAGCCTCCCATATAAACATAAAGTTGAATACAAATGAATATATGAGAAACCTAGGTTGCATTTTATAGGTTTTCTGAAATAGTAAGCTGCAGTAGACAAGGTACAGGGATTAAATATGGTAAGTAAATGTGGGAGCACAGAGATGGCCGGATGTTTGCTGACTGAGAACGGGGTGACATATCCATGCTCCAGTTTAAAATCTTTGACTTCTGTGTTATTTGAGTGTCAGGGAGTTTTGGTTTTGCGGTGGGGGCAGGGTTTCTCTGCACTGTTGCCAGTTTCTCCCCATGTTCGTGAGCTGCCTCCTTGAGTCTAAAGACATATAGTTAGGTTGACTGGTGTCTCAAATTTGCCCATATAGTATGATGTGTGTGTGTGTGTGTGTGCGTGTATGTGTGTGCACCCCCTGGAAAGGTCTGCCGTCCCATCCAGGGTGTACCCCAGCTTTGTACACTGTGCAGCCTGGGACAGACTTGAGCAGCCCCCAAAGCCCGAAACTGATCAGGATTGATGGATTATTTTGTTTGGTTTGGTTTTTGATCTTGTTGAAGAATGCTCTGTTCCCATTATGTTCTAATATTCAGTAGCACAATAATTGTTTGCTCATCTATCCAGAATCTCTCTTCTGTTGTTGTCATTGGAAATAGCTATTGTTACAGCACTGGAATATAACCAATTGTGGAACCAGTTTCACTATACACCTCAAACACTGCATCTCACTCCATCCACGGAATTCAGTTACTGGATTACATTATAACGTTTTATGTAGCGTATTATGGATAGTAGGGTTTTATAAAACATACTGTATTGTTCACTGGCCCTGTTTGTATATACATGTTGATTTAAAAGCAGCACAATCTATATACAATAGCACAGTTAAAATGGGCAACGTATGGGAGAAGCACAGCAAACACCAGGAGTCAATATTGTACGATGCTCTGGAATTCAGCGCGTCTGCATTTTCTAGATAAACCTGCACCCACTCAACCAGTTCTTAGAAACACATATCTGAGGTATCAAGACTAAGTGTGAAACATGTTAACATTTCTGGGCTTTGTTATCATATAAATAAGCTTATAATATCGAGTGTGTTTTTAAAGATATAGGTTTTCCTTTTCCTTTTTAGCAAGTTTATATAAAAACACCATTCTCAGTCCACTGACTGAGGCACATGATTCGAATCACTCAGGGTTATAGCCCCGAGTATTTTAAGCCTAGTCCCAAGTATTTTACCCCCGATGCTTTGTCTTCCTACAAAAAAAATAAATCTAGCCTTGGATAAACTTGCCTTAGCCCCTGATTTTTTTTCAATAGCTACAAACCCCCTGGTGAGGCGCATATATATAATCATATGCGATTATACACATCACCCAAGATAAATTAATCACATAAGGCTGTATAATGAGGCAAGGCTGGATGCCTATCCGTCTCTATCAGCATGTCCAGGAAGACTGAGAGGCCACATTCTCCCATTTGCTCAAAAGGCTCAGCTCTGCCCACTACCCCTGCGCATGGCATTCTCAGTCTGTACCCCACACTGAGATAGCTAATATGGATAATCAATAAAGATGCCCAGAGGGCTCAGTTACACCTGCACTCAATCAGGCCATGCTCATCATGTATTTCAGACATCTGTTTGTGCAGTATGTCCTCCAGATCCTGCACAGCCTGAGAGGAATCAGGGATGTACCTGCAACATTCTTTCCCCACTGTATAGCACAAACACCACCTTTCTCAGCTAAGATCCAATGCCATATGGTTTTGCAGCGCTACCTGCTTAACCGCGGATAATTCACCCTTAACGGCCTTTACAGTACAATGTCAAGTGTCTGACTGGCCACTTTTTCAACTGCAGTCTGCAGGGCAGCCACCTCTGTCTGAAGGTCTGCCACACCAAGGGATGGAAGAAAATTCCCGTAGAAGGGCCATGCAGTAGAAGTATGGGGCATACAGTGGGGTACCACTGTACTATACTACAGTGGGTATAGTGGGCAGTGGTGGCTTGATGGTTAGGGAAGCACACTTGTAATTGAAAGATTGCTAGTTTGAATCCCCAACCAGCAAGGCACCACTGAGGTACCCTGAGCAAGGTACCGCCCCCAAGCACTGCTCCCCGGGCGCTGAATTAGCTGCCCCCTGCTATGTCACAAAAGTCACATATGGGTTAAAAGCAGAGGACACATTTCATTGTTGCGCACTGTGTGCTGTGCTGTGTTAACACTGATCTCTAAATTTTATATTATATTATCTTCTTTCAGAAACTTATTTTGGAAAATTTATATAGTATGATGGGATGCACATAAATGATGTAGAACCAGTGCCAGTGCATTATTGCTCTCTACTGAGATTTCCTTATCTGAATTAAAATCTTCATATAAGGCTGTAAATGTGTGTTTCATTTGAAATGTGTATTACATGCAATAAATAAATATCCAAAAAAGCTGAATTTGAAGCAGTATTTCAGCAGTATTGGAACTCCATAACAGTTCAGTTATACTATATATGGTAACGCTTTGCATTAACATCACCCTCATAATGCATTGATTATGCATTCATAGAACATTCATAGGCAACATGCAAGTATACCTTAACATCCTAACATATCTCAAGAACTTCAATATACATTAGTGACAAACATTATATGATTATAAGGTTTGTTATTGTCATATAATGTTAATTTTAATGTATATTAAAACTGTTAAGTTATGTTAGGATGTTGTGGTAGATTTACATGCTGCTTATGAGTGTTCTATGAATGCTTTATGAAGATGCAATGAATGTTCTATGGATGCATTATAAAGGCATTATGAAGGTGCAGTTAATGTAAAGCGCTACTGTTTATTAATGTATATTAAATCTGTTAAGGTATGTTAGCATGTTGATATACAGTACTTACATAATAATAATAATAGATACTTTATTGATCCCTCTGGGGA